GCGGCAGCATCACTGAGCTGAGTCCCCAGCCCTCGTTGTCTTTCTTTTTTTAGAATTGTATATATATAGCATATGCAACTTTATTTATTTATTCATTTATTCATTTATTTACTGAGGCAAGGGCTTGCTTTATAGCCTAGGCTGACCCTGAACTCACTGTGTAGCTCTGGCTGGTCTCAAATTTGGGGCAATCCTCCTCTCGGCCTCGAGATTACAGTGGGATTGCACGTGTGCGCCACAGTGCCTGGGTCCACGTGATGTCTTGATACACTGACTTTGATGTACATTTATAGAATGACGTGATGACTACATTATCTTTGCTCTCGCGAGTGTTTACTCTTAATAATTGCAGTGTTTTTTATAATAGCTTTTTTTAGTAAAACATCTACTGGTACATTTTAGGCATACATAATGATGGCGCTCACAGGGAATTTGAACCTTTACATGATACACCCAGTTCTTTTTCCCATTCCTCCCCTTCCCACAAGCCCCCTCCCCTCCCTGTGTACAAAACTTTGTTTACATTTTTCCCTCTATTTTCCTTTTTTTTGTCCCTTCCTTTCTCCCTCCTTCCTCCCTTATTCCCCTTCCCATTTGTACACTTTCTCCCCATTTCCTAGCATCTATTATACTTTTCAGTCCTTATTTCCATTTTTGATTTCTTATACCAGAGAAACCAAACATGGTATTTAAACATGTATGTCCAATTTATTTCACTTAAGAGTATGGTCTCAAGTCCAGGCGTAGTGGCACATGCCTGTAATCCCAGCACTCGGGAGGCTGAGGCAGGAGGATCGCTGTGAGTTCGAGGCCAGCCTGGACTACATAGTGAGTTCCAGGTCAGTCTCAACTACATAGTGAGACCCTGTCTCAAAAAAACCAAAATAAATTAATAAATAAAATAAATAAAATAAAATAAAAATAAGATGAGGTCCCAGTTGCTGATTCTTTGTAGTATTGCCCGTGTAGTCTGGGTTTTGTTTATGAAGGCTTCTACTCCTGTGTCCTCAAGGGTTCTCCCTGTTCTCTCCCAGCAGATTTAGTGTTTCTGTTTTAATATTTAGATCTTTGATCCATTTCCATTTTAGGTTAGTGCATGGTGAAAGTTACGAGTCTAGTTTCAATCTTTGGCATGTGGAAAGCCAGTTTTTCCAGCATCATTTATTAAAGAGCATAATAGCCATTTTAAAGGGATTTTGAACTCAGGACCTCACACTTGCCAAGCAGGCACTTGTGCCACTGAGCTACATCCCCGGCTAAAGTGATTTTGAAGTATCATCTTGGCATTAATATTTATTGACTCTTTTGTTCTAATGTGTATTGAGATTTCTCTAGTTCTTTGTTTTTGTTTTTGTTTTTGTTTTTGTTTTTGTTTTTGGTACCGGGGATTGAACTCCCATCCTTGGCCCTTGCAAGGCAGGCCACCGAACCACTGAGCTAAATCCCCGGCCCTCTAGTTCTTTCTATACCTTGTAGTTTTGTATTATTCCTAGATGCTTTGAATATTATATTGAAAAACTCTGGGTTCTGAGTAAATCCCATGAAAAATGTGTTTTTCTGTTAGCAGGATTCAGAATACAAGTTCTAACCCCCTTTTGTGGACTGTGGTTTCAACTGTAGTTCTGTTTTCTAAATCTTGGTCACAGTCTTCAGCTCTGCCTTGTTTGTGGGCAGGTGAGCAGTCAGTCTGGGCCCTGGGCAATGGTTGGGCCCTTTAGCATCTTCAGCCTGCTGTTTGAGGGTTACACCCACAGGAGCACAGCTTTGGAACAGCCCAGGAGTTTATCCCCAGCTTTCTCGGTTCTCTTTCTGAGCTCCTCCCTCTCTGAGGTTTTCATGTAGTTTCTGATGCCCAGGCCTCCTCTTTTGGTCCTCTGGCTTGTTACCTCATTCTTCTGGGTCACCTGGGCAGGCCAGAGGAACGCAGAGATAAGAAAAGGTGTAGGAAGGAGTAAACCACAGCCTGTGGATTATGAGGTTTTCCCTCCTTCCGTACTTGGAGTATTTATTGAAATCCACGGATGCCCCTGTCGCTGCTGCATCCACAGTGCAGGTTAGCCTGGGTGTGAAAGAGGGCAGACAAGGGGAAAAGTTTTAATATTTTATTATAAAACACCTTTATTGTAGAAAAAGTGAAAAGTAAAGGTTAAGTTAAAATTAAAGAAGCTAAGATCTTTTGTAAACTCATGAACTGTGGTTATTTTGGTTTGGTTTATAGTTCTTATACATTTTTTTCTCCCCTCTGGTCCCAGGGATCGAACTCAGGACCTTTTACTTTTGAGGTGGGTGCGGCACCACTGAGCTAAATTCCTGGTCCACCTTTTTAATTTCATATATGTATTTCTCAGTTTTTTGGGAAAGAGAAAGTGCTGGGGATTGAACCCAGGGCCTTACACATTCTGAACAAGTCCTCTACTGTAGAATACATCCCAACTGAATTTTGACTGTAAAAATTAGACAAGTGAATTCATGTTACTCATTTTAATCAGTAAGTAGTTTTAAGACTCAGATACTATGAACGTGATCTAATTTTTACTAAATCTTCTCTTTTCCTAAATAGGTAGAAACTATTTATCCTCAACCTGGCTGGGTTGAAATTGATCCTGATATTCTCTGGGCTCAGTTTGTTGCTGTAATAAAAGATGCTATCAAAGGTAATAGAATTTCTAAAAATAACAATCATTTCTACAGTACCTTATGTTTGTAATAAGAATTTTACTGTTGGGCACTGTGGCATATACCTGTAATCCCAGCTATTCAGGAGGCTGAAACAGGAGGGTTGCAATTTAAAGGCCAGTTTGACAATTTAGTGAGACCCTGTCTCAAACTTTAAAAATTTAAAAAGAGCTGGGGATGTAGCTCAGTGGTAGAGCGAGCACTTGCCTAGTGTGGATGAGGTCCTAGATTCAATCACCAGTTCAGAAAAAAAAAAAAAGTTTTCCTTAGGCTTGTGTGGAAAACTCAGGTTCTGTAGAATTTTGTGGTTGTTATAACTATAGTATTTTATTGAGGGGGGTGTCCTAGTTCCCCAGTGTCTTTCAGGGGAGATGTGGGCCACCTTGTCCAAGAAAGGTAGCAGCTATGATGCGCTCTGGCTTGTCTCTTGCCAGCTATAGAGAAGTCAGTGCCATATGAATGAGAGACTATGATACAGGGCTACAAAGTTGCCACATTCACTTCCTGCTCTCCTGAGTTCCCATCTGAGTTACCTTGGTGGTAAAATAAGCTTTTTGTTCTATTTTTCCTGTGTAGTCACTTGGTACAATGTTTTTTTTTTTTTTTTTTTTTTTTTTTTTTTTTTTTCTTTTTTTGTATCCTTGATCTTAGCCAAAAGGAGGAGAGGTGATACAGTTGTTTTTCTAACTCCAGCCATTATCTAAAACCTTAGACCTTTAGGAATGTTTTCAGTGCAGCCATTTGGAAAGACAGTTGAAAAGATGAATTGTAAATTCTTAAAGGTGTTTTACTTCATTTTTCTGTCTACATTGCTCTGCTTCATCTTTTTAGTTTGTAATACTTCAAAACCTATTAAAAAGGTTGCAAGAGGTGCCAGGGATTTAGCTCAGTGGTGCTGCCATCTGCCTTACAATTGCAAGGTCCAGAGTTTTTGATCTCTGGTACCAAAAAAAAAAAAAAAATGTTGCAAGCAAAAGGGCTGATGGGGGGTAGCTCACTGTTATGTGTGCTTAGCGTGTGTGAGGCTGAGATGATGCCTAGCACCAAAAATATAAAAAGTTTGCAAGAATAATGCTGCGATAGCCAGGTGTGATTAACACATATTGGTAATCCCACCACTTGGAGGCTGAGGCAGGGGAATTAAGAGTTTGAGGCCAGCCTGGCCTATATACTGAGTTCAGGACCAGCTTGAACTACATAGCAAGACATCCCCCAAAACACAAAACAGCCTCGCATGGTGGTGCAGGCCTATAATCTGTATACTTTGCAGTGGGGAGGCAAAGTCAAGAGGATCACTGTGAGTTTGAATCCAGCCTGGTCTATATAGTGAGTTCAAGGCCTATCTGGACTATGTGATAAAACTGTGTCTCAAACAACAACAACACAAAACAAAACATTAATAATACTCTTTTTTAGTACTCTGTCTTTAATATTCTCTATTATCTTGGTGGAAAAAAAAATCACTTTTTTTGTTTGTTTTTGAGACATGGCCTTGTTATATAGCTCATATTATCCTTACTGTGTTCAAGGATTGTTTTTGTTTTGTTTTTTGAGACAGGGTCTCACTATGCAGTTGAGACTGACCTGAAACTCACTGTGTAGCCCAGGCTGGTCTTGAACTCACAGAAATCCTCCTACCTCAGCCTCTTGAGTGCTGGGATTATAGATTACAGGCATGCACTACCATGCCAGGCTTTTTTTTTGTTTTGTTTTGTTTGTTTTTTGAGACAGGGTCTCACTATGTAGTTGAGTAGTAATACTTTATTAGATTCAAATGTTTTATTAAAGTGGTATCTAGATTTTTTCTTTTAATTTTTTGAGACAGGTTCTCACTATTTAGCCCCAGCTGGCCTTGAATTTGCAGTGACCCTCTTGCCTCAGCCTCCTAAATTCTGGGATTACAGGCATGCACCACTACATCCAGCTATACCTAGATAGTTTTTTGTAGATTATATTGAAACAATTACTTTTCCATACTGTGATACTGTCATAATAAAGCATCACTAGCTTTTAAGTGTGTTTTCTGTGTCTTCACTTTCAGATGCGGGGATACAGATGAGTCAGATTGTTGGTCTTGGCATATCAACACAGAGAGCAACTTTTATTACATGGAACAGGTAAGTGCCTTGTGTGATAAGCACTGTTGCTGAATTTGTGCTTCTGTGAGTAAATGGCTATAAAACCTATTTGGGGAGCTTTGGATTTGTGAATTGAGAGTAGTCTCTCATTTGGCTAAGAGGGATGAGAACAGGCTTACTTTCTGACTTATGGGTTCCCTGCATGTCACTTGAGCTTGATTTATATAGAATCACAATAAGGAGATTATTGTTGCCCTAAAAATTCAAACAAGCATGGATTGAAGATCCAAAAGATACCTTATACCTAAAGAGAGTCAGGAACCTAACACATTCAGAAGCACAATGCTGTGCTTATGACTTATGTTCTCAGACTACCTCACATTTAAAATGTAAGCATCCTCATGGATGAAACGCAATCACCCAGGACATACTGAGCTGGGGAGTTAGGAAGAAAAATGGAAGGAGGGATTGGGTTTGAGTCTAAAAAACAAACTCAGGGTAAATTCATAAGGACTTGGCTTTTGGTTCGGTATTAGGCTAGAAGAAGAAATTTGAATTTAGCAGTATTTTTGACCTTGATGGTTGGCAAAGTATGATAGGAGTTGAGTACAAGAAGAGGAACAGGTTGGGTGGGTGGGGTTAGGCAGAAGGAAAATGAGAAAGTGTTTAGTTTTAGAGGTGTGAATGTGGCAAAGCTCAGAGGAGACTGAAGCATAGCACATTTTCTGTTTGGCTCCTGATTTCTTCAGGCATGAATGAATTCAAGTTATCTAGTCTGGCATGGTGGTGCTGAGGTGGGAGAATTACCTGTGGAGGCCACGGTGGACTATGTAGTGAGTCCAAGGCCTCTCTCAACTACAGAGCAGACCTTATCTCAAAAAACAAACAAGTTATCTGTATAGATGTAATCAGTTGCACTCTTGAACTTTGGGCCAAACTTTGGCATTGTAGGTGTTTGAGTAACACTCTCCACAAACACTGCATTGTGATACCCCCAGGGGCCTTGAGACTCTCAAAGTCACTTTCACTTGAGGATTACTGGTACAGAAGAACTCTAGAGGCATAGCTTTATTCTCTGATAGAGATCTGGAAAGAGAAAAGCAGGTAGAGGATTTGGACTATGAGATCCTCTCAATTGTAAAGCATTTTATTTGTATTAGTATATGTTTGCAGTAAATAACGTTTACACTAATTGTGTGTCCCCAAATTGAAAAGGAGTCAGGGAAGGAAAAACTGACCAAGCGGAACCAGGACAAATCTGAGAAAAGGGTGGTAGGGAAGCAGAGGGGTGAGTGTCCTCAGAGAAGGAGCTCTTTGAAAGAGTCACATTTGGCGGGATTTGGTGACAGGTATTTGGTTCCAGAGGTTGTTCATCACCCCTAGACTACTGTGTCACTTGAAGGTCCGAGTATTAGGAAGCAAAGTTTTTTGTGATCCTAGGGCCACACTTTAGTTTTAGAAGAGTCAGATTCTAAGACCATTCACTTCTCATACTTCGGGAGGTTTGTTTCTTTTTTTTTTTTTTTTAATTGGGTTTATTGGTTCATTTTAGGTATACAGTACAGTTACATTCATTATTGGGATCTTGTACCTTTACATGACAGGTCTTGGTTCTCAGTTTTTCCCCTTGTCCCTGACCTCCCTTCACCTAGGGAGGTTTCTTTCTAAGGCAGACATTGTGGATTCTTTTTTCCTTTGCTTTTGAGACACCCTTGCTGGTTCAAGGCTCACTATGGCCAGGCTACCCTTGGACTCTGGGATCCTCCTCCCTCATCTTCCCAAGGGCTGGGATTATGGGAGTGCACCACCACACCCCAGTTTAGAGTTCATTTTCTTTCCTTTCCTTTTTTCTATGAGTTTTACAAACACCCTTTGCTTATAGAAATGGAAATACTGATATATTTTGAAGAAACACACATAGCTTAGAAAGATGATCCTTATTGTGCTCCCTGGCCCAGCAAGCCAGTCGGGGGTCCACAAGCTCCCCAGGCACAGTGAAGATACAGCTCAGGAGTGGGCGGTCTCACAGCCATCAAGGTGTATTTCCTGGTGCTCAGTGAGAGAAGACGCTGTGGACTGAGGAAAAGCCTGTCTCTCTGCAGTGCTAACTGTGCCTGGTCCTCCCACTGCATTTTCTGTCCCCCCCACCCCAATACTGCACTTCTGTCCTCTTGGCCCTGGAAGCTGTTTTCCTCAGGATTGCAGTAGGGAAATCTGAAACTTCGTTTCATTTTTTTCCTTCCTTCACCCCTCTTCTGTGCCCCTAAGAGATTAGGAAAGGCAGCGTTGTTAATGTTTTCCAGCCCTAGAGTCTTCTTCAGGTTCTTAAATTTAACTTTTAATCAGTGTATTTAATCAAGTTCTTAAGTTTAACTTTTTTTTTTACTTCCAATAAGTACAATATTTATTAAACATATCTTCAGTTATTTTGTTACATAGTGTGCAACAAATTACAATATTCTGCAGCCACAAATTATATGCAGAGTATGAAGAAATTATTAATCAGATAGTGTAATCTTTCCATTTATAACTCTACAAGGAAGAACTAGCAAATCAGATCTTACATATAACATCTCACTAAACTTTATGCATGGAAAGTGACAGACACTGGTTGTGCTGTTTGATACAAAATGGCTGAACTTCATCTTCAGAAGACTAAACCTGACATCTAAACGTGCCAATATAAACATCAAAACAAAATATATTCTAACCAACCACAGGAAACAGTCTGGTATCAGGAAAGCAACAAGGATTGTACACATTATTTTATAAACCAGCACACAAAGGTTTAAAACAGTTCTGAAAATGAAGTTAGCTGTCTTGAGTCAAGGGAATAAAAAAAAGTCAGTATTGACCATTTACAATCTCTGACCTTTGTGGAGACGGTAAGAATCTGTTGTAGTGCAGCTACATACAGTACAATTCAGGCAATTTTGTTTTTCACTTGGGTTCAGATTGCAAATTCATTGCTGTGAGAAAAGGACGGAGGCAAATTTTAGCAGCAGCCTCCACCTGACTGGTTGACTGGAGTGCTCTGAATTTTAACATTGGACTTCTCTGCGCCACCAGCTGTTGCTCCAGAGCCCATCCATTTTTTAATCTCTTTTAATCTAGGCTGCCATTGTCATGAACGACTGTTCTACATTCGTTGCATTCTTAGCACTGGTTTCCAAAAATGGAATTCCAAGGGAATCAGCAAATTCCTTTGCTGTTGTGTAGTCTACTACTTTCTTTGTAGTCAGATCACATTTGTTCCCTACCAACAACTTGACATTTTCTTTTTTTTTTTTTTTTTAATTTTATGGTATTTATTCATTTATATGTTTTTCTCTTCTATATAAGTTTATTGAGGACAGGAACATATCTTAATAAGTACCCACCAAAAACTTAATAAATGTTTGTTGAGTAAATCAAATTATGTAAATCGCCAATGGAGCACCTGATTTATAAAAAGATGCAACAAATTTTAAAGTAAACACAGGCTGGGGATTTAGCTCAGTGGTGCTGCTGCCTACCTCACAAATGCAAGGTCCTGAGTTCAATCTCTGGTACAAAAAAACAAAACAAAACAAAACAAAAAGGACACAAATTGTCATTTTCAAAAAGCATCAAAAAGTAAATGTAAGGGTCGGGGATTTAGCTCAGCGGTTCGGTGGCCTGCCTTGCAAGCGCAAGGACCTGAGTTCAATCCCCAGTACCACCCCCCGCCAAAAAAGTAAATGTATTTAACCATACTTGGCTGATAATGGAGCAAATAAGTGAATAATAATTCAAGCTGTGGCATGTTCAGTGAACTGAAAACAGAAAGTTGGTCCAGGGAAGGCAGAGGAACTTTTGTCTTGTAAGAATTAGAACCGAGGGGCTCCATAATCATCTGGCATCCGCTCAATGTTGTATCTGTGGTTAGAAATGTACATGATAGGAACTCCAGGGATCTTCCGGATTCTCCGTTTAAGGTCCGGGTCAACTGTGGCCACAAAGTAACACTTGTGCTGAGTTACTCTTTGCGCTAAGCAGTCATCTGCATAGGTTCCTTTATGTGTGCAAGGTAATCGTTCAAATCGTGGATCCTTAGCAATCCTTAGAGCCACTCGATACTGCTGTCCCAATTTCTCAATTTCAGCCATTATGCAATCAGTTATACAAGGGATACACTTGGCATACAGACAGTCCATCATCGATTGTACTAAGTCCAATTTAGCTTTGATGGAAAAGTTGATAAAGTTGGTATCAACCAGGATATGATGAGGTGGGCCCAGCTGTGTATTATATTGGAAGAATAAGCAGGAAGGATGTTGGGGGACTTCTCTTTCCTTTAGTGCACTGGGATCTTTCTTTTCCTTCTTTTTAGGTTTTAATCTATCCTTTTCTTTGAGTCTCTCATCTCTGAGACTAAGCATTCGCTTCATGGTCGCATACTTCCTTGCTTTCTTTTGTTTCCCCATGTTCACGGCAGACTCCAGTTTCTTCCCCAACTTGACATTTTCACTGGCGTAATGATTTATTTCCTGTGTCACTGTTTGACATTATTAAAGGACTCCTGATCTGTTACATCATACACAACTATGATGCCATGAGCTCCTCTGTAATAACAGGAGGTGATTTTTCGAAATCTTTCTTGGCCTGCTGTGTCCCAGATTTGTAGCTTGATTGTTTTCCCACCTAACTCTATAGTTCTTATTTTGAAATCCGAACCAATAGTGCTGATGTAGCTTTCTGTATATGTATCATCTGCAAACCTAAGAAGGAGGCAAGATTTTCCAACCCCAGAGTTGCCAATCAGAAGTAACTTGAATAAATAATCATATTCAGGATTCATGCTGGACATGGCACTGCAGCTGCCGCTGGCACCGCCACCGCCGCCCTTGCTGCTGCAGCCGCCTCCCCTGACGCTCTGCGCCACGGGCAATCGAAGGAAAGGAATGCTTAAGTTTAACTTTTAATCAGTGTATTTAATCAGTGGTGTGTTCAGCCTGCTTTCTGAAATCCCTCTAAATGATACCTCCTCTGTTTTACTTCTTCTACATTCCTTTTGTTCTAAGAAAAATCATGAGCTGTGTGTTTCTTCAGTCACTGCGTCTCCCTGAGGACCTCACTCTGGGGACCTCAGTCAGGTTGTGTGCAATCAGCAATGGTAACAGACAAAACCGGGAGTCCCTAGGGCTGGGACTCCTCCCACGGAGCAGCTCTGTGCTAGGACGGAGCCAAATTACAATGACAGGGAAGAATGCCAGCCCAAGGCATTTTTATAGTCTCATTACAGGAGAGGATAAATTGCTCTGTATTCCTACTGCATCAAATATATCTTTATTATATTTGACATTTATGTTAATGGTTCTTACTTATGACATAAAATATGAGAAGCCGCAGAGTAGTATGAGGTGTTAGAAGGGCTTAAAGACAGTTCATTTGCAGTATTGCCATGCATATTCCTCTTCATTTCTCCTTTCACTGTTAAGAGAGAGAAAATTATCCCAAATCAAGGCTAAGTGAGCATTGGAATGTACCACCTGACATGCGTTTTCTTTTCTTTTCCTTCCTTCCCTCCTCTTCCTTTCTCTCCCTATCCGCCTCTCTCTGCCCCCCCTCCTCATGCTTTCTTTTTTTGTTTTTTGAGACAGGGTCTCAGTATGTAGTCCAGGCTGGCCTTGAACTCACAGCAATCCTGCCTCAGCCTCCTGAGTGCTGGGGTTACAGATATGCATCACCATGCCTGGTTCTGGTTGTTTGGATTATCTTGTATCACATTATAAACTAACAATATCACTTTCATGTGGTTTTCTAACCCCCTTTCCTCTTTGGCCACACTGGCCTTTCATTTTCTCTAACACATCATGTTTTACGCTACCCTAGGACCTTTGAATATACAACACATTCTGATCAGGAATATTCACCTTCCTAGTTAATCCCCCCGCATTCTCTTCAGCCCCTCAGCTCCTCCATTTTTTTTTGTTTTTTTGAGACAGGGTCTCACTATGTAGTTGAGTCTGAGCTGGCACTCACTATGTAGTCCAGGCTGGTCTCGAATTCACAACAATCCTCCTGCCTCAGCCTCCCGAGTGCAGGGATTACAGGTGAGCGCCACCAGGCCTGGCTGTAGTTAATTCTTATATTATATAGCCCTCAGTTCCTTTTTTACTTCTCAAAGAAACCTTTTTTTTTTTCGGTACGGGGTTCGAACTCTGGTCCTTGTGCTTGCTTACAAGGCAGGTGACGTAACCATTGAGCTAAATCCCCTGCTCAAGGAAACCTTTACTGCCCCCAAACCAGTCAGGTTTCCCTGTTGCTTTGCTTATTAATTTTTGTTTCCATGTTTAATATAGCCTTGACACTTTGTTTCTCCTTGATGAGACTCAGGGGAGGTGGTCAAAACATAAGGCAAATGTTTAAATTTTAAAATATTACAGTAAAAGACACATTGCCATTAATTCCCTGCAGAATACTCCCCCTTGCGTAGAACATACTTACCCTGTTGTTCTCACCGCCTCCTGAGGCCGTTTGGAGTATTTCTTTTGTGTCTTGAATGAATTATGACAAAGAACGCAGTAAACACTGCTGCTGGGTGCCACCCAATGGAAAAGCGGGCTTGTGTGTCTTCATCCATCTTTTTTTCATCCACCTTATTCATTGGATATGGCACCATTTGGCTTCTGACTCCTCCCCAAAGTCAAAGTGGCCATGAAAACATAAATGTTTTGCATTGATACAGGATGTTGAATTGGCCACTTTTTCTTTTTTTTTTTTTTTTTTTGGTTTTTGAGACAGGGTCTTACTGTGCAGTTGAGACTGCCCTGGAACTCACTGTGTAGCCCAGGCTGGTCTCGAACTTACAGCGATCCTCCTGCCTCAGCCTCCCAAAGGCTGGGTTTACAGGTGTGCGCCACCACGCCCGGCAAATCAGCCACTTTTAATGACACAGAAGAGAACTCTAGAACTGCTCCAGAAAGTAGCAAGAATTATGGAGTAAATGTTAGAGTGGGGCAGGTGTTAAGATTATGGCAATGTATCATTTACTATAATAATTTTTTTTTTGAGATAAGGTCTCACTATATAGTTCAGGCTGGCCTTGAATTCACTATGTAGCCCAGCCTAGGCTGCCTCAAACTCTCATGATCCTCTGCCTCAGCCTCATGAGTGCTGGGATTACAGGCGTGCGCCATTACACTTGGATTACTGTGATAAATTTTTAAAATTTAGACATGCACCATATTTTCTAATCACACCTCATCTTCCTGTTGTAAGTAAGTAATTGAGAAGTTATTTCTTTGAATTCCCTGGTAAAAGTCTATTGATCAGGGCAAACATAAGCAATTGAGTGATTATTTGTTTGAATTCCATAGTAGAAAGATATTCATTAGGGGCAAAATAAAGAAAATGTATTCTTCAGGGAAAAGATACCATGTTTTTCTGTTTATAGATTGGTTCCCAATTCCTGGCACAAATTGCTTTATAAATATTTGTTGAAAGCGGTGAATATGTGACCATAAGTATAGACTGCTTAGGCAGAGTGGGGAATGAAGTCTTAAGAACTGACCATGTTAAATTTACATAGGAGACTTGAAGATAAGGTAGAAAGCAAGGCCTGAATTTGATGTTGAAGATTAGAAGATATCAGGGCTGTAAGTATAGCTCAGCCATACAGGGTGTACTGTACTAGCATGGTCAAGGGGTTGAAGTATCAGAGACCCCTGTGGCAAGACCTGTTCTCCTGCTCAGTTTGATGGTGCAAGGTGGGATAAAAGATTCAGAAACAGAATTAAAGATAGAAACAGAGCCAGGATGGCCAGTACTGAGCAAGCCCCAAAGACCCTGGCCAGCCAGAGATGCTGATATTTATTGGTGACCTAATCATAAGTTGGGACGAAGGTGCTGTGTGTAGTTAGTAGGGATACAGTGCTGACACAGGTAAGGCTTGTGAAGGAAGAGACAAAACATTCATGTATTAGGGACAGAACAGACAAAATATAGGCTGTGATGCCAAACAACCTTGTCTTTTTAGTAAAGAAGCTTTAATTTGGGAATGGAAGTTGAGTGCAGGTCACTCTAACCTCTGCTGTGTTATCTCACATTGAGCCCCGGGGCTTCGTGGGTCGTTTCTCTGGTCTCTGCCATGGCCACTGGTGGAGGGGCTGACTGATATTGGCCTAAGGGCCATGCACAGTGCTCCTGTGATTCCCGTAGGCTCCATTCAGTCTCATTTCTTAAAACTCCAGTTGTGAGGTAACTCTGTACAGCCTGCTCTGTTTACTTCCTGCTTTGGGCGTGATCAGTGGGATGGGCCCCCACACCGAACCCAGTGTCTTCTCACTTAATTCCACTCCAGCCTTTTTTATTTGTTATTTTGAGAAGTTGTTTGGAAAGTGTCATCATACTTTGAAATGACTGTTTGGCCTTCGATTTTGTTCTCATCTGACAGATCTTTAGTCTGTGGTTTATACTGAATCTCAAAGTACTGTTTCCATCTTTCTTAGGAAAACAGGAAAGCATTTTCACAACTTCATTAGTTGGCAAGACCTGAGAGCTACTGAACTTGTAAAATCTTGCAATAATTCTCTTCTGATGAAGGTAACCTTTTTTATTTTTTATGATTTGAGTGTTACTGTATTTTTTGTAAATGTCTGCTAACTGTGGGCTTAATTGATAATTTCCCACCTTTGTTGTTTTAGAACATAATAAGAGACTACACAAGTGCGCCTTCTAATCAGTGAAATTTAGTACTAGTCACGTAAAAAACCAGCATGGTAGAATTAAGTGCATAACAACTGTATTTTAGAGAGTCCTCAAGAGGTTTGTAGTAGACTGTGTGTTTCTGCCATTGCGAAATGGAAAAGATACAGTCTTTTACCTTAAAGCGGAGAACGGATATTGAGGCAGGTCATGAGCAGACTACGACAAGTTCCTCATTTGTACCATCAGTAACAGACAGTGGTGCTGCTGCTGGTGACAGGAGCACTGGCGTCAATAGTGTCTGCAGTTGTGTCGTTCCTCTGCAGTCTCCCTGAGTTGTAATGATTCCACATTGATTACTTTAGGACTTCGAATGCCTCACAGTTAAATGCTGTTTTTTTCTCAGGTACTGTACTAGTACCACATGGTGCATGACAGAGTATCTAGATTAGAGCAGCAATTTTTTTTAATTTTTTGTCTTTTGTTTTGGTACCAGGGATCAAACTCAGGACCTTGTGTTTGCAAGGCAGGCTGTGGCAACCCTGAGCTTAATCCCAGCCTTGGTACATTTTATAGATACATAATGATAACATTCATCATAGGGAATTTGTATCTGTACATGATGTTATATCCTTTTTTTTTTTTTGAGACAGGCTCTCGCTATGTAGTTGAGACTGACTTGGAACTCACAGTGTAGCCCAGACTGGTCTCAAACTCACAGCGATCCTCCTCCCTCAGTCTCGCGAGTGCTGGGATTACAGGCGTGCGCCACCGCCTGGCGGTACATGATATATCTTGACTTTTTTTTCCAATTCCCTCCCCCTTCAACCTCTCTTCCCCCTTTATTTAGAAAAGCATTGTTTCCATTTTTTTCCTTCTCTTCTCTTTTTTTTTTTTTTTTTTTTTCTTTTTTTGAGACAGGGTCTCACTATGTAGTTGACACTGACCTGGAACTCACTATGTAGCCCAGGCTGGTCTTGAACTCACAGCGATCCTCCTGCCTCAGCCTCCTGAGTGCTGGGATTACAGGCGTGCGCCACCACGCCCGGCTTCTCTTCTCTTTTCTTATTCCTTCTTTCCTCCCCACCTTCTTCCCCTTCTCATTTGAACACTTTCTTCCCATTTCTCAATATCTATTATACATTTTTTTCCTTGTTTCCACTTGGTTTCTCATGCCAGAGAAACAATGCAGTATTTAAACATGTCTCTCTGATTTATTTCACTTAAGAGTATGATCTCAAGGTCCATCCATGTAGCTAGAAATGTCTCATGCTCATCCTTCTTTATGGCAGAGTAGTAAGTACTCCATTGTATAAAAGACCTCACATCTTTATCCAGTAATCAGTTGATGGATCTTTGGGCTGTTCCCAAGATTTAGCTGCTTTAAACCAAGCCACTGTGAACATGGGTATGCATATATTGCTGTGGTCTGATGCTTTTAATTATTTTGGAAAGAAGGGTAATACCTGTGTCAAGTTGAACCTCTAGTTTTAGTTTATAGAGGAATCTCCATACTGATTTCCACAGTGGTTGAACCAGTCTACACTGCTACTAACAGTGGGAAGAATTCCTTTTTTCCCCACAGCCCTGTTATTAGTTTATTATTGGTTTCGTGTGTGTGTGTGTGTGTGTGTGCGTGTGTGTGCATGCAGTGCTCCCCCCACCCCATCCCAGGGATCAAACTCTTGACCTTGCGCTTGCCAGGCAGGTGCAGGCACCATTGAACTACATCCCTAGGCCTATTATTGGTTGGTTTTTTGATAAAACTCCTATTCTTTCTGCAGTGAGATGGAATCTCTGCATTATTTTAATTTGCATCTTGAATGACCAGTGTTTTTCTATATTTTTCATATATTTATTTGTTGTTTCTGCTTCTTCATCTGAGAAGTGTCTTTATTTCAGATGCCCATTTTTGCACTGGGTCTTTAAGTTTGAAGAGGTCTGATTTTTTGGTTCTTTATATATTCTAGATAGAAGTCCTTTATCTGAGGAACAGCTGATAAAAATTTTTTCCCACACTGGGTTATCACTTCACTCTGTTGGTGGTTTCTCTTTCTGTACAGAAGATTTTTTAATATAATGAGATACCAGTTATTGATTCTCTATGATAATTCCTGTGAAATCAGGATTTGTTCATAAAGTCTTTGCCTACACTGATATCTTCGAGAGTTCTACCTATCTTCCAGCAGATTTAGTGTTTCTGTTTTAATATTTAGATCTTTGATCTATTTCTATTTTAGTTTAGTTCATGATGAAAGATATGGGTCTACTTTTAATTTTCAACAAGTGGAAAGCCAGTTTTCCATTTATGAAGGAGTATATTTTTCTTCCAGTGAAGGTATTTGGCTCCTTTCTCAAAGATAAGGTGGCAAGCCAGTTATGGTAGCACATACCTGTAATCCCAGCACTCAGGAGGCTGAGGCAGGAAGATCACTGTGAGTTTGAGACCAGCCTGGGCTACATACTGAGTTCCAGGACAGTATCAACTACATAGTGAGACCCTGTCTCAACATAAAACAAACAAGATGAGGTAGCTGAGCATGTCTGGAGTTGTTTCTGCATCTTCTAATCTGTTCCATTGATCCTCAGGTCTGTTTTTTTGCAGTACTGTGCTGTTTTTGTCACAGTAGCTTTGTAGTATATTTTCTGTCCTTGTCCCTAATACATGAATGCTTTGTCTCTTCCTTTACAAGCCTTACCTGTGTCAGCAATGTATCCCTAGTAACTACACACAGCACCTTCACCCCCAACTTAACTGTGATTACATCACCATTAAATATTAGCGTCTCTGGCTGGCCAGGATCTTTGGGGCTTGCTCAGCACTGGCCGTCCTGGCTGTGTCAGCTGTTGTAATGCCTGCCATGCCTTTGTTGCCCAGAATTGCCTTTGCTAGTCTACATCTCTTTTGGTTCCAAATGAATTTTAGGCTTGTTTTCTCTAATTCGGTGAAATACACTATTGGAATTTTCATCGGATTGTGTTGAATCTGTATAATTCTAGAGATATGGCCATTTTCACTCTTTTGGTTCTTCCTGCCCAAGAACAAAGGATATCTTTCCATTTTCTGATAACCTCTTTAATCTCCTTTTTCAGAATACTGTAGTTTTCAATGTAAAAGTCTTCTACTTCCTTTGTTAGATTTATCCCTAGGTATTTCATTTGTTTTGGATGCTATTGTGAGAGGTGTTGTTTCCCTCATAGCTCTCTCAGTGAGTTTGTTATTTGTATGTAGGAATGCTCTTGATTTTTAGTGTTGACTTTGTATCCAGCTGCACTACTGAATTTGATCTACTAGTGTTTTGGTGGATTTTTTTCAGGTGAATCTGCAAATAGTATCATTTAACTTCTTCCGTTCCTATTCTTAATCCTTTTGTTTTCATCTCTTGTCTAATTGGGCTAATGGTTCCAGAACTATATTGAATAAAAATGATGACATTGGACTTCCTTGTTGTATTCCTGATTTTAGAGTGAAAACTTTCAGTTTTTGTCCATTTAGTATGATGTTGGCTTTTGGTTTGTCCTAGATGGCTTTTATCAGATTGAGATAAAGACTATCTATTTCAATTTTCTGTAGGGTTTTTATCATGAACAGGTGCTTGTCAGATGCTTTTTCTGCATCTATTGAGAGGATCATATAGTTTGTCCTTGGTTCTGTTAATATACTGTATTACATTTATTGATTTGCATATGTTGAACCATCCCTGCATCACTGCGATGAATCCAACTTGGTCATGGTGTACAACCTTCTTGATGATTTGCTACATTCTGTTTGCCAGTGTCTTATTGAGGATTGTTACGTCTGTGTTCATTAGGGAGATTGTCCTGTAATTCTCCTTTTTGGTTGGATCCTTCTCTGGTTTTGGAATCAGGGTAGAGCTTGCTCTAGGAATGGATTTGGGAGTATTCCTTCCCTTTCAGTTTCATGACAGTTTGAGGAGTAGTGGTATTAGGTCTTCTGAATTTCTTACAGAATTTAGCAGTGAATCCATCCCTGGCGATGCATGGGCTTTTATTTGTTGGTAGGTATTGCTTCTTCAATTTCAATGGTTGATGTTGGTTTATTTAGAATTTTTATATCTTCTTGATTCAGTTTTGGTAATTCATATGTATCTAGGAATCTGTCCGTTTCTTCTGTGTTCCATCTTATTAGAGGTAGGTATTGATTTTTCTGGATTTCTACAGGATCGTTTGTTATTTCACCCTTTTCATTCCTAATTGAGTGGGTTTGAGTCTTTTCCTTCCTTGTTTTGATAAGGTTGGCTAAGCGTTTGTCAGTTTTATTTAATCTTTCAAAGAACCAACTCTTTGATTCACTGATTCTTTATATTTTCTTAGTCTCCATTGCATTAATTTCTGCTCTCATCTTTGTGATTTCCTCCCTTTTATGAGCTTTGAGCTTGACTTGCTGTTCTTTTTCTAGAACCTTCAGGTTCATCACTAGATTGTTTATTTGAGCTCTCTCTTTTCCTAACATGGTTGTTCACTGCTATAAATTTCCCTTATAGGACTTCTTTCATTGTGTCCAATAAGTTCTTGTATATTGTATTGGCATTATCATTTAATTGTAGAAACTGTCTAATTTCTTCTTTAATTTCATCTGTTACTACCCATTGGTTGTTCGGGAGGTTGTTACTTAATTTTCATGTGTTTATGAAGTTCTTATGGTTTCTTTTGCCATTGTTTTCTAATTTCATTGCACTGTGGTTGGATAATATGCCTGATAATTTCAGTTCTTTTGTATTTACTTCAGCATGTTCTATGAATTAGTATGTGGTCTGTTTTGGAGAATGACCCATATGCAGATGAAAAGAATGTGTATTCTGATGTGGGGTAAAATACTCTGTACATATCTCCTAAGTCCATTTGTTCAAGACTTTAGTTCATTTTTTTTTTTTTAGTTGAGTTCTAATAGTTCATTGTTGATTTTTTTGGGGGGTGGTCTAGTTGATGTGTCTATTTGTGGCAGTGGGGTACTGAGATCTCCTATTACAGCTGTATTAGTGCTTATATGATTTTTCATGTCCGTTAATATTTGTTTTGTGTAGTTGGGTATGCTGCTACTTGGTACATATATATTTAGGATTGTTATCTCTTCCTCTTGGATTGTTCCCTTTAGCAGGACATAGTGATCTTCTTTGTCTCTCTTAATCAGTTTTGGCTTGAAATCCATTTTGTCTACAAATAGAATAGCTACCCCTGCTTTAGTTTCCTGTCATATGCAATATTGTTTTCCATCCCTTGACTTTCAGTCTATGAATTTATTTTTCAATTAATTGTTTCTTTCTTTCCTTTTTTTTTTTTGGTACTGGGGATCGAACTCTGGTCGTTGCACTTGTGAGGTAGGTGGCAGCACCACTGAGCTAAATCCCCGGCCCCTAAATGTGTTTCCTGTATGCAGCATATTGTTAGATCGTGCTTCTTGATCCATTCTGCTAGTCTGTTTCTTTTGATTGGTGAATTGAGACCATTGACAATGATGGTTTTTAACAGATATGTATTACCTCTGTCATGTTATTTTCCTGCTGTTGGCTTCATTCCTTTTCTGTTTAATTTCTTGCTTTGCCTGGTAGATTCATTCTGTTGGAGTTGATGAAGTTGTAATCCTTGTTATCTCTCTCTAGAATGTCCTTCAGAACACTTGGAGTGCTGGTTTGGTAGTCATGAATTTCTTCAGGTGTTCTTTGTCATGGAAGCAGCTTATTTTTCCATCAATTTTGACAGTTTTGTGGGGTACGTCAATCTTGCTTAGACGTTGTTTTCCTTTAGAGCTTGAAGTACTTCACCCCAAGCTCTCCTTGAATTAAGGGTGTATATAGAGAAGTCTTTTGTGATTCTGACAGGCTTTCCTTTACAGTTGATTAGTTCCTTTTTTCTAACAGTTTTTATTATTCTGTTCTTATGTTGAATTTCTGGAATCTTGACTATTATATGCATTGGAGATTTTTTGATAATGGCTAATTGGAGTTCTCTATTCCTCACTTATCAGTATGTCAAATTCTTTTTCTCTTTCTGAGAGGTTTTCTGCCATTATTTCTGTGAACAGGTTTTTTTAAATGTCATTTGTGGTAGCTCTAGAGCAGCACTTTTACTGGATAAGCATTTGACCATGTTAATTGTATATGAAAATAGACATGAGCATAGAGTGTAATAATAGTGCATGAGTGAGATAATTCTGCTATAATCTTACCTGCATGAATTTTATATTAATTTAGAGGCTGAATATAAGAGTTTCTTTTATAGGAAGGACAGAGTAATTAAAGGATTTGAAAATGGCTGTAAGAATGTCATAAACTATGAATTGTATAAGTTAAAATTATATTATTTTAGTGGTAGAGATGTAGCCCAGTGATAGACTGCTTGCCTAGCATGATGTTGTGGGTTTCATTCTCAGCACTGCAAGGAAACCCAGAAAAAACACAAACAACAACAACAACAAAAAACAATTTAAATATATAATTTATACATTAATGCATATTTTTATGGTATTGGGGATAAACCATTATTTTTAAATAGTTTGTAAACGTTCCTCAATTTATTCAACAAGGCATTTTAGGGGAGGGAGTTGAGACAAGATTTTGCTATGTGTCCCAGGCCAGCCTTGCACTCCCTGCAATCCTTCTGCCTCAGCTTCCCAAGTGCTGGGATTACAGGCATTCTAGCAAGGCTTTTCAAAGTTGTATTCCTTTGAAAATAAATTGTGACCATGGCAACAATTACTTCTGTAGTTTAAATCCCAATCTCAAATCTTTTTTTTTTCTTTTTTGGTACTGAGATTCACACTCAGGGCCTTGTGCTTGTGAGGCAGGCGGTGGAACCACTGGGCTAAATCCCCAGCCCCACCCCCCCAGTCTCAAATCTTGATGTAACCTTGACCTCAAGAATGAAAGTGAGCATTTCAAGCACTTTGTCTACTTGATTTTGAAAGTGAGCATGATGCAAGTTGTGGGTTGTCGTAGAAAAATGCACACAAACACAGGTATGCACAATCCAGCCCACACAATTCCAGTGTCTGACCTGGCAGTGGACCCCATTCTGCAGTCACCAGTCTCAGATGCTAAAGATTTATTATTTAAGGCTCTTGAAAGTTTTTCTGGTATATTTGTCTGAGTTGGTACCAAGGTGATAAGCTTGGTCACGGCTAGCTTATTCCTTTTTATTGCTGAGACAGATTCCTGATAATTTAATGAACCATTTGTCTACTGAAGAATATCTGTGCTTCCCAACACTTGGGAGGTTAAGGCATTATGATTGCAAGTTTGAGATCCTCCTGGAAAATTAATAAGACCCTATCTCAGAAAACTAAAAGAGGGGCCAGGGATGTAGCTCAGTGGTACTGTGTGTGCCACGCCAGTGCAAGGTCCCGAGTTTGATTTCCAGTACCAAGAAACAAAACAAAACCTAAACTAAAGGGCTGGATAGCTCAGCTGTGATAAGCATTTCTTCATCTGTTTATTGTCCATTTGTACTTCAGATGCCTTTTCACTTCACTTTCCTAATTTTTGATGGGGTCGTCTGTTTTGAGGAACTAATTTTTTGAGTTATTTTATATTCTATATTCTATTCTTTTATATTCTATTCTGTATTTTCCCCCACTCTATAGATTGTCTTTTCACTCTGTTGAATCTTTCTTTTGCTGTACAGAAGCTTTTAATTTAATATGATCTCATTTGTTGATTCTTTTAACTATTTCCTGTGCAAATAGATTTCTGTTCAGAATTCCATATCTACACCTAGGACTTCAATAGTTTTACCTATTTGGGCTTCCAGCAGGTTAAGTGTTTCTGACTCAACATTTAGTTCTTTGATCCATTTTGATATTACTTTAGTGCATGATTAGAGAAATGGGTCTAGATTCCATCTTCTGCATGTGGATAGCCAGTTTTCACAGAACCATTTATTAAAAAGCTATCTTTCCTTAAGAGAAAAAAATGTGAGATAATGAAAAGATGAAAATAAAGTGTTTGTAGATGGGGAGGGGAGGAGGGGGTGAAGGGAGGGCAGGGGTAAGGGGAAAAAATGAGAATCAGGACTTGTCATGTAGAGGTACAAGATCCTAACGATGAATGTAACTGTACTATATCCCTAAAATGTACCAGAAAACTCAATTAAAGCTGGCGGGGGAGCTATCTTTCCTTTAGTATAGTTCAATGTGCTTGGGGTTGTTTCTGCATCATCCATTCTGTTTCATTGATCCTCATGTCTGTTTTTGTGCCAGAATCATGCTGATTTTGTCATAGTAGCTTTGTAATATGTATTTCTTCAAATCCACAATTGTGATGCTTCCTGCTTTGCTTTTTTACTCACAATTGCTTTGTCGTTCTTCTGGTTCCATATGCATTGTTGGATTATCTTCTCCAGTTCTGCGAAGAATGCTGTTGTAGCTGGGTGTAGTGGTGCATGCCTGTAATCCCAGCACTCAGGAGGCTGAGGCAGGAGGATCACTGTGAGTTCGAGACCAGTCTAGGCTACACAGTGAGTTCCAGGTCAGTCTCAACTACATAGTGAGACCCTGTCTCAAAAAAACAGCAACAAAAAGAATACTATTGTAATTTTGATTGGGATTGTGTTAAATCTGTATATCAATTTTGGAATTATGGCCTTTTTGATTATATTGATTTTAAAACACCTCCTACTTTGGCCAGGGCTGTAGTTCAGTGGCTGCATGCCTTCCTGATTATATTGGTTCTACCTATCCAACAACAGCGAATACTTTGCATTTTCTTTCTATTTTTTTTTTAGTACCAAGGATCGAACTGGGGTCCTTGCCCTTGCAGGACAGGCGGCAGAACTGCTGAGCTAAATCCCCAGCCCTATCTTTGCATTTTTTGATGTTTTCTTTACTTTCCTTTGTTTGTTTGTTTTCTTTTGAGACAGGGTCTCACTATGTAGTTGAGACTGACCTGGAATTCACTATGTAGTCCAGGCTGGTCTCAAACTCACAGTGATCCTCCTGCCTCCCCTCTCAAGTGCTGAGATTACAGGCGTGTGCCACCATGCCTGGCTGCTTTCCTTTTTTAGAGTACTATAGTTTTTATTGCAGAGGTCTTTTACTTACTTCCTTAGTTATGTTAATTATCTTAGGATAAGATTACTGATCCTGATTTTCTTAAATACTGAGAACACCATAAGTAGTAAAATGCCTTATTTGTTAGTGGGTATGTTTGCCTGTGTATAGAATTGACATGGAAATGTCGAATATCATTAAATATCTTTTTTTTTTTTAATAGCTATTTCACAGTTACTGCCAAGTAGTTTACTTTTTCACTAGAAAGAGGCGATTTTTAACAGGGAGCCAGTATACTTTCACTACCCAGCATGTTTCCTTGCGGTTGGCCTGGATTTTACAGAATATGACTGAGGTAAGAAAATATTGTGTGTTTAGGAATGAGATAATGACTTTGGGAAGAAAAAAATTCCATGAAGAAAAATAGCACTTTGACTATTTTAGGGAAAATTGAGTGCCTACCACTATTGGAAAGAAGAGAAGGCATTTTTACTTGGATCACAGGATTGTTGTATGTAAATTAATTTACTAATATTTTAATTGCTAATTACTGTTCTGTCCATTGTATTATTGCAGTATTTTAGCCTATTCTGTTCATTATATATTTGAGTTTTTCCAGTTTTTGCTCTAGTTAATGTCTCTTGGTATAAAATAAATGTTGTATCTATATGTAGGATGGAATATTTTTGGCACAAATGTGTCTGCATGTTTTACATGTTGGTAAATAATGGCAAAACACATTTCCAAAGTGGTTATAACAATTTACACATCTTCCATCAGTGATGTGAGGACTTTATTTCATTTACCATCATAATGGATATTACCAGTCTCTATTGTAGCTATTCTAGTAGCTAAGTTGTGGATTTCATTTCAGTTTTAGACTGTACCAAAAACAAGATCCAGGACTGGTTTTATTGCTCAGTGTGTGCTAGTTTCAGTCGCCACAATCAGATACATACTATATATATATCAGACACACTTTAGATTTTCAAAATACAGATAGATTAAAAGTAAATGAGTAGATGGCCAGGCGTGGTGGCGCACACCTGTAATCCCAGCATTCAGGAGGCTGAGGTAGGAGGATCACTGTGAGTTCGAGACCAGTCTGGGCTACACAGTGAGTTCCAGAGCAGTCTGAACTACATAGTGAGACCCCGTCTCAAAAAACAAAACAAAACAAAACAAAAAGTAAATGAGTAGAGCTGGTGTGCACATCTGTAATCCCAGCACTTGGGAGGCTGAGGCAGAAGGATTGCCATGCGTTTAAGGCCAGCCTGAACTATACACTGAAACCCTAGCTCAGAAAACAAAACAAAACAACAACAAAATAAATGAGTGGAAAAACATATCATGCAAACAACATTCATAAGTAGCTAGATTGGCAATGCTAGTATCAGACAAAAGAAGTTTTAGATAAAAACAAATCACTAGCAGTAAAGAGGGAATTGTAGGGCTAAGGATGTACTTCAGTGGTGCTGCGCCTGCCTGGCAAGCACAAGGTCCTGAGTTCAATTCCCAGTACCAAAAAAACGAGGGAATTTTATAATGATAAGGTAAGTCCATCAGAAATAATGTATCTAATAACAGAGCCAGCAAACATATAATACAGCTGAGCGTGGTGGAACACACCACTAATCCTAGCACTGGGGAAGCTGAGGCAGGAGGATCATTGTGAGTTTGAGGCCAGCTTGGGCTGTATAGTGAGTTCAAGGTCAAGCTGAACTACTACATCATAAGACCCTGTCTCAAAAAGCAAACAAGGAAGCACAGATACTTGAAACAGAATTCTGACAGAATTAAAGGGGAAAATAGACAACTGAATGATAATAGCTGAAGACTTTATTACTCTTTGAATAATGAATAAGCAATGCAGACAGAAGATCATCAAGGGAATAGAACATTTCGATAACAATAAAAAGTAGCCAGATGGCCAGGGATTTAGCTCAGTGGTTCCGGCGCCTCCCTCGCAAGCACAAGGACCTGAGTTCAATCCCCATACCAAAAAAAAAAAAAAACCCAAACTAGCCAAATCTAGCACATATTTGTAGAAAACTCCATCTAATAACAGAAGAACATGCATTCTTCTTAAGTATGCCAGCTTCTCTAGGATATGCCATGTGTTAGGTCATGATATAAGCTGTGCTGAGTTTGAAAGGATCAGAATCGTACAAAAATATGTCTGACCATAATGAAATGGAGGGCCGGGAGATTTAGCTTTTTAGGTTTGGTGGCCTGCCTTCCAAGCGCAAGGACCCGAGTTCAATCCCCGGTACCAAAAAAAATTAATAATAATAATAATAATGAAATGGGATTAGAAGTAAGTGACAGAAAAAAACTTTTGTTTATTTGTTTTTTGAAACAGGGTCTTGCTATATAGTCAGGCTGGTCTTGTAGCTAAGACTGGCCTCAAAGTCTTGACAATCCTTCTGCCTCAGCCTCCTGAGTTCTGGGATTACAGTGTGTGCCTCCATGGCTATTTTACATAAGAAGACTATATTTAAAAAGAAGAAAACCAAGTCAGTAATCTAACATGTCATCTTCCAATACTAAAAAAATATAAGCAAACTAAACCCAAAGTGAGCAGGGCCAGAATTTAGCTCAGTGGTTCCACCGCCTGCCTCAAAAGCTCAAGGTCCCAAGTTCAATCCCTGGTACCAAAACCAAAACAAAAAAACCCCAAAGTAAGCAAAAAAGAAATAAAAAATAAAGATTAGAATAGAAAGTAATGAAATAGAAAAGCAACAAAGGGAAAAAGCAAAAACAAAAGTTAAGCATATTAGGAGATGTAGGAAATTCATTTTACATGATCTGGTACCTCTGGATGATAAACTCAAAGAACTAGAAAGAAAAGGAAACTTCTTTAATTTGAACTATGACTAATTTATGAAAAACCCACAGCATGATAGTACATACCTATAATACGAGGAGGCTATAATACTAAGGCAGGAGGATTGCACATTTAACCCATCCTGCACAATTTAGCGGTTTAGGAAGAACCTGTCACAAACAAAATGAAACAAAAAATGAGTGCAGATGTAGCTCAGTCCAAAGGCATCTGAACCGTTATTTTTTCCAGTGTAATTTTTACTTCATTCTCATTCTTTTCTTCTGAAAGTTCAATTATATGTACATTAGACTTTCTTACTAAATACTCATGGATTTAACCTCTTTGGAAATTAAAAATAAAGTTATGTGTGTAGTAAATTTTAGAATAAAATAAATTTAAGAAGAGTTTGGAATATTACAATATTACTTTAAAATACTCCATATTTAAGTGATACAACTCTTGAATGGAAATTTAAGATAATTGTTACGGAGCTAGGTGCAGGTGGCATATACTTTTAGTCCCAACTTCTCAGGAGGCTGAGGCAGGAGGATCACTTGAGCTCAGGATTTTAAGCCTAGCCTGGGCAACAGTGGAAAAGCCTACCTCTAAAAAGAAAAAAAAAAAGTTATAAATAACATATAAGTGACCCCTTTTTTATTTGTTAAGTTTATTTGTACACTTTAGATAAACACTTTATGATCATATTGGGAATGACTCCTTATTTTGGAAATCATATTTTTATTGATCAAAACTTTCTACTATTAAAGTAGAACTCTTCTTTAATGTTTTTAGTTGCTATACTTTAATTTCAGTTGTTTACTACAGAATTTTTTAAAAAATCCTGTATGCTGGAAATCCACCTATGTGGATGTTATAGAAAACAACAACAACCTTGTTCCTGTTTGTGAAGAGCTTGCAGTCAAGCAGAGCAGAAGGGTGGGGCCAGGCAGGGATGGAGGGCACAGGGTTGGAGAGATGTAAAGAGCAAAAGGATGTTTCAGAAATTGTTTTCCAATGTATTAATGCCATCCTAACATTTCAGTTTCTGGACTAGCTGGTTGAGAGGTTTTGACACTTTTTGTTTCCTTTGATATGCTTTAGGCAAGTTATTGGAAGTTTATTTTCATAACAGCCAGAGTCATATTTTAGACCTGAAAGCTGTAAGATTTGCATCATAACTACTCTGCTATTGTAGTTCAAAAGCAGCCATAGGTAATCCATGAGTAAATGAATATAGCTGGCTATGTTCATTTATACATATAGCTATTCATATGTATGTATGTATATGTGTGTATAACACACACACACAAATAGC